GTATCGAGAAATAGCTTGCTTGAAAGGTGTTTGGACGTCCTTTATTTTGACGGTTGATTTTTTAAAATCAGTCATTTCGTTTTCTAGAAAATTAGAAAAATCTTCATTCATCTTAATTTTTTCAGATAGAAAATAAAAACACGACAATATCGCTTTTTATTTCAATAAGTGTCCAAAATGTTGTCCGTTAGGGTTTTCCAAATCTACAATCCGTTTATAGTTTAAAAAGAAAACTACCAGCATAAACAGCAATTCGGAAGATTAGACGTGGCAACAAACAAATAACAACCCTAATTGTATTCCGCATGCTTTTCATTAACACAGATATCCTGTGGGAGCTGTATTGTTATACCTGTTTAGTTTTTTGTTACTAAGCGGAAGAAAAAATTCAATTTGCTGGCTGTTACCTTTGTGACAATCATGGGATATTGAAAATTAATTTATTGATTCAGATTTTACTTCCAAATTGGTTTACACACTAGCCGAAAGAATGGAAATGATTCTAATTTATGGTGCTCAAAACCAATGTGGACGGCAAACTGCCGTCACGTTTAATGCAACATCCCATAGGTATGTTTTGGACCTTGTTACTAAATTTAAGCTGGATCTGTTGCAAAGAAAAGGCGTGATCATCGGAGAGTTTTGGATGAAGCCACTCAAGTTGAAATTTTGGGTCATTTTGGAATAAATCCTAATACTTCATTACGTAAAATTGTTGCTGCGACTGGTATTTCATTAGGCTCTGTACACAGGTACTAAACTCCTTAAATTTCATCCATTCAGAATATAAATATTGCAACAGTTAACCGAAGATGATTTCAATAGGCGAGTTGAGTTTTGTGTACAAATGACTACAGCAATTAATGATAATACCGTTCATGTAAAGAATATCTGCTTGAGTGATATTAATGGAAATTTGAATGGAGACATTTATTTCTATATGTTGGAAAATACCATCAATCCGATTATCACTGAAACCATTAAAACCCATATCGAAGAGGATGAGAACCCTATACTTGATGAGGCTGAAATATATTTCCAGCAAGACGGCGCTCCTCTTCAGTATGTGTTTTTGTTTTCTATCTGAAGAAATTAAGATAAATAAAGATTTTTTTAATTTTCTTGAAAACGAATCGACCGATTTTAAAAAATCAAACGTCTAAATAAAGGACTTCGAAAGACCTTCCAAACAAGCTGTTACTCGATACCCCTTGTCATTCAAAATTTTTAAGGGCATCACCCGAAAGGCAGTGGGTGAAAGGAGGTGAAATAGTTTTTGGTTAAAAAGTTTTGACGTGTCTCGGCGTGTTTCCGTTTATTCAGTGGTTTTCGATAAATCCGTGGTCAGAAGTTTTCAAATAAACATAATAGTAATAGTAGTAATAGTAATATTTATTTGTCTAAAACCATTACACGTAGAATTGTATAGAGGACAAATAAATGAAGAGCCCGCAGAAGGGTGGCCCTTGTGCGCGGGTTACATCTTATATACCTTCTCATTATAGGCTTTATTTTTATTCCTTTCTTATCCAGAATTATATATGCATTCCCTTGTATAAGTATGTAATATACTATTTGTTTTGTTTATCTTTTTGGCGAAGTCTGAGTAATTTTTCCCTCATGCATTATACAGGCTCGCCACTTATCATTATTTTATAACTTCTGTGCGTATAATTATTTATTTCGGCTGATTAATCTGTAGTTGAGTCGTCTATCTTTTGACATTTTCTATCAACCAGTGCATTATCATTTATTAATTTGATGTTTCTCTAATTCTGGATTTAAAATTTCTGCAAGAAACATTTTGTAAATTCATATACTGGATTCCAGCTGAAAATTATATTCGGTACATATACATACAGGTATTATTGCATTATCGGTTAGCAGATATTTCTTTACCCTTAGGATAGGTCGGTAAAAAGCTTATTATTTATTAGAACAGCCTACATGCATGATCATCTTTCACAGCTTACTACACATTGACGACATAATCAGTTGAGCTAACGACAATGCTTAAATGCAAAATTTCCTCAACTTTGTTTCAAGTGCATAAAAATTCCTTCAACACTGATATGATTCGGTATCTGCTAAATATGTATTTGCTTTGACAATGCTGAAGGCCGCAGCATTGTTAGGAATATTACCCGGAATGATTTTCTGAGGTAAATAAGAGCATATAAATGTATATACCTAATAGTTCATTTAACGAAAACTGCGTCTGAGTTGTTACGTATGCCATACATAGGTAAGTGTCAATTAGTGTCTATCATCTGTGAGAATGATCGAAAACGATTTGACCTATGAACATGAAATTTGACAGGGAGGTTGTTTTTGTGATATAGCTGGATTAAGGAACGCTAAGGGCAGATATACACTGTGTCTAAAAATTAGACGATGATCTTGCAATTGGAAATAAATGTTTGTCAAAATTTTGTTTAGTCAAATGTCTCATGGTTTCGCGCCTAAGGGAACTTCACAAGTGAGTTATAAAAATATCCTGCTTTTTGGCCATTGTTGATACTAGGTTCAACTGTCAGAGCCGTCAACCTAAAAAAAAAAACTATTAGGCGCGCGATACTTAGGCAACCCCGAGTAATGAGATATTTTTGTTTATGGATCGATATTTTTTAGTTTTGTAAATGAAATGAGCTTACTAGTTCACTATGTCCATTTACTCACGGAACAGCTTGTATTCAGTGTATATCAATTCTTAAATATCTCGTTGGAGTCCTACACATACTCTCATACAGTAAGTTGCAACTAATTTCTAGAAATTATGATTCTATTAGTAGCTACAACATTTTTCAAAAGATGCAAAAATAATGTCTTTTAGAATTTTTTAAAACCGCCCAGAATACTAAGAAACTTTAATCTGTTACGAATAGAAACTTGTTCTTTGATATAAGAAGAAAACATGATACACTTGACTATTCCCTTTCCATGCAGAAGAAATGGCCGTCAGAAAAAATACTGGAAAAACTAATCCATCGAAAGCAGAAAACTTGAGACCAAGTGCTGAACCAAGAGTTCAACAACTAGATGCAGTGGTAGCGCATTCTGACAAACCTGAGCGTCAACCACAGCCTTCCAGTTAGAATTTGGTTGAAGTTGCGCCGTTTGCTGGACCAGGTATCAACAATCGAATGCAGTGGAAGCCCATTCGTACAGACTTGGAAGTCAAGCACACCCTGACAAATCGAATCATGTTCATGTCGCGCCATAAGTAGATTTCAGCGGTAAGATGACTTACCAAGAAATATATAAAATATTGAGTTTAACTTATAAGGTCTTTTTTTTAATTTCACAGAGTGCGGTTAGGTATAGAGCAGCACTGTGGCTAAACTTCGCCTTTCTGATGTGCTTCAATAAAGTCATTTATTATTATTATGATCATTCTGCTCTGCAGATGGCTTTCTGGCAGAAAAAAAAAGCGGGTTGCAAACTGGATGCTAACATGTTTGATGAATGGTTTTCCACTAGACTGCTGCCAAATGTATAATCTAGCAGCATTATTATAGTGGATAATGCCAATTACCATTCCAAACAGATCGCTAAAATGCATGATTCTTCGTCTTGCGAGAAAATCATCCAATATTTCCTCGTGGAGCATTATCTACATTTTGAAGCATCTTATATAAAACAAAAGAATTGTTGGAGGTCCTCCACAGAAGACACTTTGAAAAAAGGTATGCGATTGACGGGCATGTGGTTATAGGATTATCACCTTATTTTTGTATATTCAATCCCATCGAATAGTACGTGGTCAACTGAAGAGTACGCCAGAGGAAAATAAATACCACCCTTCCACTAAAGTGTTTTGGATGAAAACCGTCGAAAAAGTGTTAGAAATTGAAAATGGCTATAGATAATTACATAATATTCCTCAAATAAGCAACGCAAAGTTCTTCATCGACGTCAATGACGAATGTGCGGAAAATAAGGAGTAAGGGCTGTTTGTCATTTATCCTTCCTTTATTATTTTCTTACACACAATACAAATTGATTTAGCCATCTCTCATCCAGATGTAAAAGTAAATATCTGAAAATAAATTTAAATCATAAAAGTCCGTCACTGTGTTCAGGAGCCGCCATCTCGGTTTTATAATATTTTAACAGCATTGAAAAGCGTAAACAGACACTAACTATATGTCTGTCGCGAAGGATACACATGACTTGTTTGATTTGGGGTATTGATGAAATTTTCCCCATATTTAGGAAAATGTGAGTAAGCTTGCTTAGCCGAAGTTGGAACCGAGGCGCGCTTCGGCGATATTTGGAAGACTCACTCCTGTTATGCTGCCACTTACTTCAATTTTTCCATAACAAAATGTGTCGGTTTATTTAGCAAGTCTCCTATAGAGAGGATGTTACGTCGGTATATGGATTATGTACAACTAAAAGAGTTGAATCAATGTCAATAAATAAGGTGTTTTGAGTGATGAGTAAAATTAATTTAATAAAGGGAACTATGAATACTTCTTTTAAAAAACCCGTATTTATTTGAAGAGTAGGTATATAAATATAGAGAGCATAAATATTATGTATTAACGTACATAAAGATGCGACTTGTGGATATCAGGTAATAAGGAATACTTTTCGTATGGGAGGGGACAATTTAATGCTTTCAAGTATAAAATCATGTTCTAGAGTGAGGAGTAAATTGAATTCAAGGTTAATAGGGTAAAATGTATCGTCTGATATTCGGGCTAATAATTTTCCTATCTATAAAGGGAAATTTTGATTACTTATATGTTTCAATGGACTTCATCACCTAATGGAAAAAATAGAATTACCTACAACTAAATGACTTGCAATGAAAAAGATGTAGAAGCTTCTGAAGCTACCTATATTTCTTTATGATTCTCTTCTGGGAATAAACGACCGCATAAGAACAATCATTGGTATACCGAATAATTTGTGCATATACCTATGCCTAGTCAATTTTCTGCAGACTGATTCGACAGTTAGCTGAAACGTAATAAATATCAATCAACCATCGATCACTTACATCTCTTGATGAGGCTTTTCTTGAATGGCTTAATATCTCCACATTCCTGCAGCATCAGCTTCTCCTCAGTGTCATCACTTTCGGTTCCGGAATCTCTAGCCGGACTGACCCTTCCGGTACAGTTCACCCTGAGATCCAATGGAGCTTCTTCGTCCTCCATGTCAACGCAACTGGAGGAACACACGTACTCTTCACTAACGTCCTCAGTTTTTGGAACCACCCCGATCACCGACAGTTCTTTGTACGGCTTGAGAAGTATCATAGCAACCCGGCTCACGCACCGTACGTAGTCTGAGCGCAGAGGTAGATATGTGTGTGCGAGAGAGAGGTAAATGTAGATAGGTAAAGCGAACCGAACTGATCACAACAGCGCTTCGATGCCGACTAACGTTGTCCCACTGACTCAGATCGGGCGTGAGGACACAACGCGGCAAACGGCGCGACGCTACACCGCCGAAAGTGAAATGATGCGCGGTGGATAAAGTTGGGTTAGGTTAGGGGACCATCGTTGACGGTGTGGCGCACCGCGCGGCAGCACGAGAGGCGTTAGGCGGCGCACCGCAGATCGCCTCTTCGTAATCGCCCATTATCCGGATATTAAACATCCTAAATTACTGTTAGATGATCTGTCATTGGTCTACGAATATGTATGTACATTGCATCGACAAAGTGACGACTACCAACTTTTGTTTTATTCATATGTGAGAAACCATTTCCCTACAACCGCTACACGGTTATGAACAAAAATTGAGGTATCGCGTCGCGAGTTTGCGTTTTTAAAAAACGTTTTACAGGTGATTTGATACACTTTATTCACTTAAAAGGTACAAGTATCGTTTCAGGTAACAACTTACAAGCGATTGACTAATAGATGTAACTTAAAGTACCTAATAGCTGATGTAAAACTGATGCCTAAAGGGCACAAACACGAATTTATAATATGAGGTTGTTTATAAAGATAAAATATAAGTACACAAATTAGGGACATATACGAGGGGCTCTCGCTATATATCTCAAAGAGCCCCATATGAAAATGTGTCGGCAGGGCCGCCCAGTTGTGGAGAATCAAAGATCGAAGTTAAAATTTAAGTTAAAGATTTTCCCAAAGAAATAAAGTTGCTTCTATCCAATAAATAATAAGAATAGATAACGTATTGACTAAGTATTGATTTCACAATTAATTCTCCAAAATAGGCAGATTACTTCCCCCTGTGACCACGAAAATGTTAAAATCTCATATAAGTTTTTTTTTATGTTATGCGATATGTGTCTTCAACGAATTCGGACTATGTAGAAGGAGCAAGTCGGATTTGTATCCTAATTCTCATAGACTGTAGTGAGCATAACATTTTTTGACAGTTTTGTTATTAAATTCAGCACAAGCCTAATGAAGGTAGACGTTTCCACGGGTAAGCATTGCTATTGTGCTGAATCAAAACGTTGTTATTTTGGTAGGCATTAGTAGACAAATAATGAGTCAAAAGTATGCAAACTACGCAATTTAGGGACAAACAGTGTAATAAAATGCTTGGCTCCTTTTAATCTATTCGAATTGGTTGAAATCACTTATTTCCGTACGTGTGTCTGTCGGTCCATCTGTATGTTGCCGTTATTTTACTCTCGAAATTTTGGAAACGGTTGTACCGATGTGAATGAAATTTGGGGAGCAACACGCTGTGAGGCCATAGTATGTAACGTAGCTGCTTACGTTGACTTCAAAATTGTTTATATGAGAGCGGCTGTGTCTTTGTAGTGGGGCGTCCACCTGAAGCGGACAATGGAAAAACATTCGTTCATGCCCGGTTTGTTTATCTAGTAGGTGTGAAAGAGAAAACACGATGTTTCCGTGCCAAGCTTATTTGCTAAGTTACGGGCTATGAAGAACAGCCGTACTTGACCTTTTGGAAATTAAAAGTATTACAGTGATATATTAAAGATAGCCCTTTATAAACGAAATTTTCTGTACTCTTTGATGGTGCAAAACTGGAAGCTGGCATTTAAAACCAAACATTTACCAACTTTTATTTTCAATTTTCAAACTCCAGAATATATAGCCTGGTGTGTGTTAAAGAACGCAAAAAGTCTTAAAATGGAATGCGTATCAATCAAGGAAATGAAGACATGCATATTTTGAGACTTTTCAACATGCAAAAAACAAAAATTATTATTGAATGTAAAACTAAATTTTAATGTAAAAGACCAACAAAAGTAGTCAAAAATAGTGCCAAAGGGACTAACTAAGTCAAAAGTATTTATCTTCCTATACCTCCTTCTAAATTCCTCATCAATCTGTTTCTACTACGTTTTCTTCCCAGTTCGCTCTCGAACATGCAGATGTAGTTTGCAGTCATGCTTGTGTCCAACTTCCTTGATACCTGCTCTCTATAACTTTAACATCTTGATGGAAGCGCTCACTTTGTTCTTCATTTCCGGCACCAAGATTCTCAGGAAGAAAGTCAACAAGAGAATGGAGAGAATGTATCTTTATACTCATATTGCAACCCAGTACACGAAAATTGCTTATTATTTTACACTCTGTTTTGATAAATTTCATTAACTTCTTTTTATGCGGTTCTTGGCCCAAATAATTTTTGCGTAAAAAACAAGTTGTTCAAAATCTACCAACAATATTAAGTCAACTTCACGGAACAATGTCCAGCAACTTTACTTTTTTCGCTGCTACATAATAATAAAAAAGCGATCGCTCAAAAATATACTTACGTGATGCAATTTTTTATTTTTTCCGTAGTTCAGCACCTAGCACTCATCCAAATTACTAATTAGTATGTTAAGAGGAAAACAATCGCCTGGGTAATTATTTTATTTATATTTTAACAGGAAGCCTTGTGCTTTAAAGAACTAGTATTAACGAGCAAAGTAAAATTGTACAGATTATACAATAAAATGTTGCTCTTAACATTAAGTGGTTTTAGTGAATATGCCTTTCCCGCACACTAAGCGATAGAAAGAAGCATATATCTGTCTCTCAAAAATTTGAACCTAAAGAAAGAAATCTCGAACTTGAGAACTTTGCTTGACACTCAGCAAAATTGGGTGAAGGATCTCAATGTTAACATTCCTGATGACATTTCGAGACTTCTTTTCTGAGGTCCGAAGTCTAGTTTTTTATACCGAAGCAGCCGCGCAGGCTAAGCCGGGAGACCGCGGCTGCTATGATGATCCCAAAGAAACTTTGTTAATCCGATTTTTTAACTGAATAACTAGAACTGAGAAAAGCTTCCTCTTGTAGATTCTCGACACCCTCGGGACAAAGGAGCGGCCAGTTCTGGATGTACGAAGTTCGACACGGTTAGGATGGGAGGCCAAAGTCTGGTGGGTCTGTCTGGCAGGCACATCGCGCGGCGGCATCATGGAACAGAGCTCTGAGGAGCAAGCCCGTTGGTATAGCTGTAGAAGAGAGCTAGATCGCCGACGGCCCGGCGGTGCGAAAGGGTCCCGAAACTGTCTGTCAGAGAAAAATCATCGATCAGTCGGACAGCACTCCTCTGGGCAGCATCAAGCATAAATAATGTAGCCGGGGCGGCAACACACCAAACGTGTGAGCAATACTCAAGGCTAGGCCTTATCTGAGCCTTATATAGAGTGAGAAGGTCATGTGGAGAAAAGTACTCCTTAGCCCTAAACAAATAGCCTATCTTTTTCCCAGCAGCGGCCGCTATTGACGAGATGTCTCGTGCCAGATCAGGTCCTCGGACCATCCGAAATGAATGTCTCTTTGGCAGAACTTGGCCATCTATCGAAACCGGATGAGCGCTAGGAAGCTTTTTGTTCGTCAAAGTACAGGACTGTGTTTTGGAAGCATTAAACTGTACAAGATAGTTGCATCCCCAAGCAGTGATAACCTCCAGGAGTCTGATTCTGAATGAGTTTCGACCGTTGAAACTAATTTCGATGGCACCTTGTGACGATATACTTGACTTGCTATAATAATTTTGATATCTCCTATGCACAATATTTGATATTTACCTGTATTTTGTGACAATAAACATTACTATTATATCAATCTTCTAATATTCAAATTATCATGGAGTTGTCAAGACTATCAGAGCGCATCAAGTAAATTGTCACAACGTGCTATAGAAATCAATTTCAAATCGAACATCGAAATTCATTTAAAATAAGGCCCCAGGTCACGCGTCAGAGAGGAAGTCTTCGCTGGTCTTCTTTTTCCCAGCTCAGCGGCAGAGATCGGCTTGTCACTCTGAATGTAAAATGCTCTTATCAGCGAAGCTGTGGATTGAGTTGATCGTGCAGGAAAGGAGGTCGTTGATATATAAGAGAAACAGTGTCGGAGCCAAGACTGATCCCTGGGGAACACCCGAGTTGACGTTGTGGAATGAAGAGGGGTATCTTGCGACCAGAGATAAAGTCAGCCGCCCATCTGCAAAGCTTTTCTTGGAGGCCGTAGAATGGAAGTTTGCTTAAGAGGGCAGCGTGCCACAGCTGATCGAATGCTTTCGTGATGTCAAGAGCAACGACATGAGCCTCACCATAAGACTGGATGAGTTTACTCAACAATTGCGTGACGTAAGCTAGGAGGTCCCCTGTGGATTGCTGGTATCAGAAGCCGTACTGCCTGTCGCTAATCAAGCTGTGACGTTCGAGGTAGTCCAGAAGCTCGCGATTTATGCACGTCTCCATTACCTTACTTATAACAGAAAGCAGAGCTATAGGCCTGTAGCTGTAAGGATCGGTCTTAGATCTTTTTTCTGGGATTGGTTGGACATGAACAAATTTCCAGTTTGCTGGGAAGGTGCCGAATTCATAAGATATCAGGAAGAGACGCGAAAGAACTGGAGCAAGCTCCGCTGCACACCTCTTCAGTACAATGGCAGGAAGCAAGTCCGGATGTCGAGCGACAAAAGCACTCGTCTTACGGTCTTATGACAGAATGTTACCTCCCGCATAGTGTTGGGAACCCTTTGAATTGACGGCACTTGGACGTTGGGGGGGGGGGACGTCCATAGTGGAGTTGGCAGCAAAGATCTTGGCTAGCACTTCCGCCTCGGCCTTTGAGTCGGATACAATCGTTCCATCCTGATACGTAAGTGGTGGAAGGCTTCTGTATGAGAAGTTCTTGTCAATCTGCTTGGCCAGCGTCCAGAAACACCGACTGCCATTGCGCTGCGATATTAGCTTGTGCCTAACTTTTATATCGTGCTGATTTTTGGCATTGCGAACCGCTTCGTTATGTTTGTTTATGGACTCGATGTCGGCTTGTCTGTTCTCTACAGTGGGGTT